GAAACTAGAATATAAAACATGTTTTCAGTTATTTCACCTTTTTTTGTTAAGTACATAACTCCACATGTGTTCATTCATAGTTTTGATGCCTTCAGTGAGAATCTACAATGTAAATAGTCATGAAAATAAAGAAAACGCATTGAATGAGAAGGTGTGTCCAAACTTTTGGCCTGTACTGTAGATACCAGACACCAAGATGGTGCCTATACATTCAAAAGGGGTTGCTCGCCTGGTGCATATGCGAAAAAGTTTTTCAGTTCAGTACCACCAGTGGCCACATGCAAATTGCTGCATGGCTGAGTGTCTGTCCTGTGGGCCTGGCTGGCTCACATTATGCCAAAGATGCTCTATAACAGAAGTCATTTTTTCGATTTCGGGGTGAACTGTCCCTTTAAGTACAAATTTTTAAGTAGAATTTACTTGAGTATTTTCTTTTCATGCCACTTAGTACTTGAACTAATAATAATCAGCAGATTAATTATCTATAATGAGAAAAATCATTAGTTGCATTCCTGTACAATAAATAAACAAATGAATAACAATTAGCACCACCTCAAACTCTCGCTTTACATTAATGCATGAATTTAAAAAAAAAAATCTTTAATGCCTTTAAAATATACTTAGAGAAATATCTTTCCAAATTGTAATATAAATGTCGTTATGTCACACCAGGACATGCAGAGTGTTATACAGGCCTGCAGCAGTGAGCAACTGTAACTAGTTTTGACCACAATTAAATGCTCTCAGATGCAGCAAAGAAAATAGCATACAAACTCCATTTATTGAGAAATGTAGCTTATATAATACTACAACAACAGCATGATTGTAAATGGTTGTTAGAGTATTTCTGGGAAAGCCATGGTCATTTCTGAGTGGGTGTATCAAGCAAATGTGTGATTGGACTTGTGAAAAAAAAAAAAAACAGAGTTGTGATATCATTTTGTTGTGAATTTACACAAATTTCCCACATCAGCTTTTCTTAAAGAAATATAACACAGAAAAAAAATCACAACCAGAAAATAGCACTGCTTTGGATATTTTGCAGTTTCATTTTGTGTAAATCCATTGTTCAATCAACTGTTGGTTTACAATGAAAGGTGGCATTAATTAATATAACAAAGGGCATTCCAAAGCCTCCAGGTTTTAACTCAGATCGCACTCAAGTAGCTGTTGAAGATCAAAAATGGCATCATATCATACAGCCAATTTTGATTGTCATTAGTGTATTCTGTCCAATGCAAGAGAGTAAAGAAAAGGATTCTTACACCAAACTGTCTTTACTCATATATCACCACAAATAGTAATACCAGTACAGATGTCTTAGGGGAAGACTTTATCAGAAGAAAGTAGTTTAGTCTTTAATGTAAATGTTTGTAAATGTAACATTTTCTTATGTTTGTCATCCCACAGTTATCCAGAGAGAAGGGAAATTGTAATCATGGGCAGACATAAATAAAATATTTGCTAACACTAAATGAGTATTCTTGTATTTACTGTCACATGTGCATTGTTATTCTTCTGATAACTAAACCTGTGGGGTTGGTGGTGGCACGTAACACTTCTGCTCAACATACCTCCAAAATCACAACAGAGCTTAGAGGGAATTTGTGTAACACAGTAAAACACTTTACACAGATGATACTGGCAGCCAGACATTCAAAAGGCCACCTCATATTTAGAAGCCACTGACTGTAAAATATAACTGGAGTCCTCATTTTCTGAATTACACCTACAGGGTAAATAAAAAACACAATATCAAATCATAATGTTTTCTCTTATTAATCCTGTATCAGACACAGATGAGCTGGACAGTACCTGCAAAATCTGAACATTGAATGGATGATGTCATCAGTTGACAATGCAATTACTCACTTTTATTACATTAAAATTATCATAATTTGAATACTGGGCTTACAACTGTGGGTCAGAAAAAGTTCCCATACCCTAAATGAAATCATTGTGGATTCTGTAATTTGTATTCGTACGGGTCTTTAGTTATTTGTTGATAACATAATCAATGTATGTGTTCAAATCATGAATTAAAGGTCCAGTGTGTAGGATTGAGGGGAGTATATTGGCAGAAATTGAACAGAATATAATAAGTATGTTTTCCTTAGTGTGTAATCACCTATAGAATAAGAATTGTTGTGTTCTCCTGAGCTTAGAATAAGCCATTTCTATCTACAAAGGGAGTGGCTACCAGTAGGGCCATTCGCATATTTGTGTTAGCCACCATAGTAAGAGGCCCAACTGCAATTAGCGGTGCCGGAGTTAATAAGGTGATATTGCTTTATTCAGTGTTTAGTTCAAAGTTTATCAAGGATAAACCCCGTGAGATGCATCATCTTGTTTTCAAGGGGGTCCGATACAACAACGAAAAACAGATGAAATTACAAAACAATACAAGAAACATTTCACAAATAAGCGCCCAAAACAGGCCAGTTACAACAAAGACAGGACAATACAAGGATAACACCCAACAATGCAGGTAACACACAACAAGTAAAACAAGTCACAATAGCGCATTGGAGAAATAAGTGCACAGATAACTATAATAGAATAGCCTAAGAAAAGAGAAAGAGAGACAAAAAGCAAAGTAAGTGGAATGCCATTGTTTCTAGCCATTTAAATCACCTGGTCCATTTGTTTTGGAGAGTAAGAGACCTCTGTGGATAATTCCGCCCCCGGTGAAAGCCCCCTCCTCCTGAATAAGATCCTTATCTTACTGGAGAAATAAGGTGACCACACATTGGCATGTGTTGGACTTGCCGCCTGCAGTGACACACCAGGCTGCATCAGAAATACATGGATTTGTAACGTGAAACTGCATAATTTGGTGTTTTTACCAGTTTGAATCACTGGGTCTGTCCTTTTTGGAAAGGAAGAGACCTCTGTGGATAATTCGGCTCACAGTAAAAACCTCCTGAACAATCAGAAAAAGGTGAGCACAAATTAATTTATGAGAGAAAAGGGAGCCGCCCATGCAAGATGCTGAACACTATTTGAGATGCACTGATTTGTAACAGAAACTGCTTTATTCAGTGTCTTACCAGCTTGGTCTGTTTGTTTTGTAGAGGACAAGACCTCTTGGCCCCCGAAAAATAAATCTCCTGAACAATGAGCGCTGAAGGAAGTCTAGCCGGGATAAGTTTTAGCTGGTTGCAATCTGCAATTCACCGGTGGACACGACAAAAATCCGACAAATCCCCCTAAATCTTACACAATTCACCTTTAAATTGAGCTATATCAGTTATAAAAAATAACGGGAAACTCATAGTCCACAATGCTAGGGATCGGCACACCCAGGGCCCCGCCCCTGCCTGCTGGGAACCCCAGTGTCCCCATACTGGGCGAGGTGCCCAAAGTCAGAATAATGCGTTCCATCAAGGTCTTCTTGAATCACTCTTAGTCTGGCCCCTGGGACCACTTTGCCTTGGGAGACCCTACCAGGGGCTACTAGCCTTGGACAACACTGCTCCCAGGTTCAAAGGGACATGCAAACCCCTCCACCACGTTAAGGTGGCCGTTCTCAGAGAAAGTAAAAGGCCCCGGGGCAGACCCAGGACACGCTGGAGGGATTACATATCTCATCTGGCCTGGGAACGCCTTGGGGTCCCTCAGGAGGAGCTGGAAAGCGTTGCTGGGGAGAGGGACGTCTGGGGTGCTTTGTTGGCCTGCTGCCCCCACGACCTTGCCCTGGATAAGCAGATGAAAATGGATGGACGGATAGTTTAGTGTAGGTCTGTATGTTCTGTTTAAAATCCCAATTGAGAACTGAGTGATCACAGTTGTATCACCAGTGTAACAGATCAGTGAGTTTACTTCTGCTCAGAGAAAGTCACAAGTTATTGTTACTTTTGTCATTTTATATAGCCTACACATTCCCACACATTGCCACAATATGGCACCAGCACCCTTTTTATAGTGAGTTTAATTTGCTTCCATCAAGGTGAAAGGTTTTACCTCCCTGGAGAGGACATAAATAGATACAAGAGGTCATTTATTCAGTCAGGTACTGGCTTTTTAAACAAAATGTGATTTGGTCTTTTACTAGCTGTGGGTGTAATATAGTGCTCCCTTTTATTTATTTATTTATTTCACGGCTCTCTGTTTTGGTAATTATTTATATATTATAGACAAATAGTGCAAGGACACGTGCCCAGGTGCATTTGACCAAGGTGTGTGCAGGTGTGATAGGTGTCATTGCATCATATCACCCTGTATTTTGCACATAAGGTTTCACTTGTTTACAGCCAAAGAGGGCGCGGCTTTATCTCTACTTTAAATGCGCGCGCCGAGTTCACTCAAGTTAAATAAGTACATACACGCGCGCGCGCGCGCGCACGCACGCACGGCCTACTTTTCCCAATTGTATCGCTCATATGCAGGGGGATGGGGTGGGATGGGGGGGACGGTTTCCCCTTGCAGGCTACTGCTGTTGCTGTGCCAGTGCGCAAACAGTTCACGCCGTGGGATAGGTCTCCCCAAATTGAGGCTGCGCTCGGAACGATCATGCGATTGAATGACGAGCGCGTCATGCTTGTCTTCCTCCTCTTCTGTGCTGTGCGATCAGTAGCTCTGTGTTCCGCAATCCCCTGGGATACTGTACCGCCCTCGATGGCTCTGCTCTCGGCGTTTCGCGCACACTGAATGGCAGCCTGGAGCAAGGGAAAGCGGGGAGAGGGAGCGCTGCGTCTCCTCCTTTGAACCAACGCTCTGCATCAACTTCCCAGCGAGGGGGTGAGTGTCTTGTCTGCCGTTGTGCGAGGCGTCCTGCCGGGGTCGTCTGAGGATTCACCGGCGGAGGAGGAGGGGGAGGGCGGAGAGGGCAGAGAGGTATGTTCCGGTGTCCTTAGCGCTGGGAGATTTGGGTTGACGATGAACGGTTCAGTAAATACGGGACAATTAAAGTTTGGGATAAGTGTGCCACTTAGGGGACGGGTCCAAGTTGGAACAGTCCGAAACTTTCTTTAGCCCATTCCAGCCTTTTCCCGTGAAATGCGCCCTATCATCAAAGTGTAGTTAAACGGTTAATCTCATGTAGCTCTTCTCCCAAATATGCGAAAATGCGATGGCACTCAGGGTTTTTTTTTTGGCACGGCAGCACTTGCGAGAGCCGGTTGTAAAGAATTGTGCCTTGTTGTGCTCCCACCCCCCGCTCCGTGCCGCACTGGTTCCGTCTGGCTCGCCCTCAGCTGCTGCGTGTCCTGGGATGACCTGTTGATGTCGGTAGAATGGAGAATGGCAGGGGGAGCGATTTCCCCCATCACCAAAATATTTAAATAAGCAACATTTGGGCTTGACAACCGGCGTCGCAGCACAGCTACCTCGTCCGCACATTCAGTAAGTGTCTTGTTTATATTTTGAGCGTGGCCGATCGCGGAAATGCTTGACATTGTGCAGCTGGGCGCTGAGTGTGCATGAGGTGGATGGTGCGCCGGGGCGAACCCAAAATATTTAACAGTAGTGTTAGCTTAGCCATTAGCCACCTCCTATAGGCCTGCTGCGGATGGGAGAGGGCATCAAACATTTCAGCGCTGTCAGCCACAGGGGAGATGGGGACAAACTACGACGGCTCAGTCTGCTAGAGATGGTTTGGATTAATGTACTTAGATGGCATTTGACGGCGCGTAAACAGGAACACACCGTCGCCCTCACCCGGGTATCACCGGGGCTTGCTGCCATCCTGTGTCGCCCCCCTCCCGTCGCCTCCCGGCTCCGGTGCCAGCAGACAGTGGAGCACTCCCGGCGGGTAGGCTGGCACACGGCGCGGTGTGTTAAAGAGCTCCCTATCTGCTCCCCATTACCCGGCATCCTTTCTCCTTTAAACATATCAGTGCGGTCCGGTGCATTCATAGGGTATGCACGGGTACAGCTTCAGAGATATGGAGTTTAGAAGTTTAGGATCTTCTCATGTCTGTGCTGCTTTATATTCAGGACCTCCCTGTTATATAAGAATAATCACGAATCAGGCCTGTGCATATGTCTTTACTTCATAGGAGCAGCACAGCCATACAGGCATGGGCACATGAGAACCAGGAAATGCCTATAGAGGGAATGCATTGTGTGCCAGCTGCACCAATGACTCCACAGTAATCATTCACACAGCAGTGTAAGAGCCCATGCTGTTTTTCAATGGTGGAACTGGAAAGTATTCAGACAGTATAAGCTCCGAAATATGTTGACAGCTGCCCCATCATAACATAACATAAGCCTTTTTCAGTGTGGGAGAAACATTCTTAAGGCTTACTATGAAAAGGTCTTAAGTATGTTGTGAGTATGTTTGACCTACTTTCCTCAGCAGGCTGGCTGGTATTACGCCACAGGGTGAGTTGGGGTGAATTTCATTTGTTCACATTGCTGCGCTCTATATATTTAATGGAAGAAGGACCTGAGATGATCCCTCTCATCTCTGCAGGCCTCACTGCCCCTCCTTGGTGCATAAAGACACACATGCACACACACACACACACACACACACACACACACACACACACACACACAGTCACATTCTCTCTCACTGTCAGGGCAAACTGTGCAAACACACCCTGCTCTCAGCCCCGTGTTTGTGTGTCTTTATGTGCACGCATGTGTGCTTACTGCGGCTCGCCAAACTGTAAACAAGCAGTATTGTCTAATGTCTGTGTGTGACTCAGTGTGCCTTTTGTGGGTTTGTTTGAGTTTGTGTGTGCGCATCTGTGTTTTAGTATGAGGGAGAGGGAGCTTGAGTGAGACAGAGACAAAGAGAGCATTTCTCTTTACCCTGGAGCTTGGCGAGGTCCCAAATGAAAGGCTTTGGATATGATGGGGCAGCTCACTCCGGCCCTCATCAGTCAGTCCCACCAAAGTTGGTTGCATGCCTCTCGCAGGGTGGGCTTCAATCAGTTTTGTTCTCACAGTGTCAGAGATTGCTTTTGCTTGGTATGTACATGTGTGTGTGCAGCTTGCACTCAGTGCAACACTTTTAAGTGGTAAAGAGCATCCGTGCAAAGAGCAGCTTTATCTAGGCCTGTTTACTCATCTGTGTAGCTGTGTCTGTGTATGTATGTGAAAACACTTTTGACTGGTATTCCCCTTTAAGTAAAGGTTCATGACCAATGAAATTCCATGTGGGCTTATCAATGGATCTGTTGTATTCTTAGCTGTGATTGTGGAGGTTGTGGGTACAGAGTGCATATAATGCTTAAAGGTCCAGTGTGTCGCATTTAGCCGCATATGTTGGCAGAAAGGGAATGTGATATTATAAGTATGTTTTCACTAGTGGAATATTACCCGAAAATAAGAACAATGGTGTTTTTGTTCTTTTATAAAAAGCAAGTTATGTCTACATTGTGATTTTAAATTCTCAGATATGCTGAGCATTGCAATAACTTATTGCAATATATTACCTTTTCAACTGTACATTATGTCCCCACAGAAACAATTTGTTGGCATCCGTTTTATCTGATAAGATCAGGTTTTAAAAATAAAGTCTCTCACTTCAATCAGTTTTATTGCAGCAGAAATGAATCTAGTGGACTGGAAAAGCAATTGAATTTTATCATTCTAGCAGGCTACCAAAAGTTTAATTTGTTTTCTCAGTATTAAATATTTATATAAAAAAAGATACTTGCTGTCTGTGTATCGATACAATTTTGTGTGGCAATATTGTATCGATACACATACTTGCTGTCTGTGTATCGATACAATATTGCCACACAAAATATCACGATACTATGCTGTATTGATTCCCCCCCCCCCCCCCCAAACTCCTACCACACAAGGAGTAGGCCCTGAGACATGGCGGCCATGTTGCACCACCATGTGTCTACAGCCCTCTTTACACAGAGATCGAGCCATAGGGCTGCTATAAAGTCTCTTCTTGATGCCACCTTTGCATTTTTACACAGAAACAAACCACGGCAGCATCATGCGACTCCAGTGTTTGATTTTAGACAGCATGCAGGCATCAGGGAAACAAAAGAAGCGCGAGGGGTGTGACATGTCATACCATTTTGTTAGCCTCTAGTGTGACTTATATATAAGTCATATGGCAGCTGATCTCGTCCTCTCGGAGGGTAAGAAGCTCCCAGACCTCATTGTTTTCCTAATTTGCAGATATTTTCAGACACTGTTCTCTCTCTTTGAGTTAGCTGCTAACTGTGACCAGCTACTTTCTAAAGCTCCTGCAGTGGGTCTCACGCATAACATGTCATCAAAACATCACACGCATTCCCTCCTGCTGGCTGTCCTTTTTATAAAGACATCATCTCGGTGGTGTCACTGCCTCAGATGCCGACTTAAAGGCGAGACAACTCCGTCCCCCCATCCTGCGATTGTACCTTTTTACACAGAACAGCAAGGCAGCATAACGGTGTGAAATTCCCACCTTGATGAAGCAGAGTAAAAGAGGCTTACAGTAGCCCAGAACGGACAAACCAAACACTAGCTTGATATAGGATCAGACTAACTGATTTGTAACGTGAAACTCCTTTTTTCCCAGTATTTTTTACAAGTTTTAATCACCTGGTCCATTTGTTTGAGAGAAAAAGACTTCTGCGGATGATTCAGCTCCTGGTAAAAACCTCCTTAACAATGAGCACTGAAGGAATTCTAACCGGGAGAAGTGTCCAACTAGCTGCAATGTGCAATCATCAGCACTAAATGCCTCTAAATCCCTCTAAATGTTACACACTGGACCTTAAAATACATGTTGATCCCTGTACTGAGAAGTAGATTCTACCCGTGCTATTGTGTAGAATGAGGTCATGTATACGATTCTAAAGAAAATATCTGGTGTCTTTAAATATCCTGACTCTGAACACAAAGCTATCTCACTATCTCACAGAATCAAGCAGTCACATAGCCTGCACATAGTGTTCTTCATACCCTCAGCAGAGGGAACTTTGCTTCACTTTAATTTAATATTGACATGCATAATATAGAAATCTCCGAGAGGGTGCAGAGCAAGGGTATGTTTGCCTTCGACTGTTTAGAGAAGTGAATGGAAACATGCTATGTGGTGTTTGTTTAGGCCGCGCACTTTTCCACATAGAATAACAGAACATGACCCAGTTATCTAAGGACACAGGGTTTTATAGCTCATAGAAGACAGAAAATAAAAAGGCTCTTACTGAGTCCACTCTTGGCAATAACAACTACTGCAAGGCTGAAGTGACGTATAGGATTAATGCAATGTAGATTATCCGTGGAAGCTTCAACCAAACTTTGTTTCAAATATCAACGTCTTTTGCGCCTGCCAAAAGCCTTCAGTAGGGCTGTGTGAAGAAATATTTGTGGTCTATGTCGATTGGATATGCCAAGGGATATAATGCTAATTCAGGACTTATTTTCTTTAGAAAAGAGGTGTTTCATTATGAACAGTTTGGCACAGCGGCAATAAAAAATAGACTTCCATTAGATTTAGTGTATGTTTGGAATTACCTTGTCCCAGTGACAGACTGTCAGAGGTTTTATTGTGTCCATTAATGTAAGAGTCTGACATTCCTCACCAGTTTTGTTTTCGGTCTGCTCTCCCTCAGCTTTTTGTCTTTTAACACAGCCATGTTACATTACCCCTCCTCCTCCTCCTCACATTTCCTGCTGATACCCTTCTAACACCAAAGACACAGCACAGGATAAAACAGTTTTTGTCATTGTTGTAAATGGGCCTACCCAACTTGTCCCACTTGGGACAATGACTGTGCTCATGACCAGAGATAAAGACGTTTAAAAACTACGGTTGTTTCAATACCAGAATTTTAAACTTCAGTACATTACTAGTATTAAAAAATCAATACTCAGTGTATCTTTCAATGCCAATTAACCAAATGACAATAGGTCACACGAAAAGATTGTTTTTTCTTTTAACACACCTTTTCAAAGTGCTGGTAAAGCAAAAGTCACACACCTCCAGTCACGCGGTGGGTTTGTTGCTGGAGAGAGTATCGTAACAACTACAGGTTGAGGACCAGTTGATTTTTCTTTCCCTTTGTTTGGTGTGCCTAGCCTTGGGTTGAAAATCTGATTGTAGATCTGTTTTTTTTTTTTAACCAGCCACGACAACGTCTTGACAGCTGGTATTGCTTTCACCATGCGAGTCTGTGTGTGTCATCATGGCAAAATGTGGTCCTGGAGACCTATTGTGGCGGGAATGACCACAGAAGCCGTTACAAGTATTTTATCAGGTGTTTATATGTCTGTCTGTGGACAGAGTTTGTCAGTGCTGTACTTTGCAACCGTGCAAGATAGAGTCACGAAACTTTTCATGTGTGTAATGAGTTCAAAGATGGGCATGGGCCGAGCAAGGGTGCTGGAGGTAGTGAAAAGGCCATTAGCCCCCAACATTTACGCCCCTGGCTCATGAAACTTCACAGGCATGTAGCTGAGATCACAATGACGGCTTAGATCTAATATGGGTGTGGTGTGGAAAAAGGGCGCTGGAAGCTACCCCCCCACTTTATGCCCCTGGCCGGCATGCACTTTGAATCACGGATCGCTGTATCATGGCTGCAGTGATCCCATCGTAAGAAGGGCTCTAGTTTTTACAACTTCAGTACTTCAAGTTCTATCAAGTGTATAGTTAATGGAAATTGTACCATTTTAAATATGTGGTATCGAAAAAGTATTGAAGTTCATGTGACGACCTTTGTAAAACCTACAATCAAAACCCTCTTGAGTAGTAATGTTTATGACTCTACGTATGCTGACCCAAGGTATAAAGTGTAACAGCCTGATGCTTCCAAGTGAAGCTGAACCCATGTTTAATAAGCAGTGGTATGTACACAGAGTTTATGTGTGGATGGAGTTTCACTGTCATTTATTGTAACCGTGTCCTTTCTCTTTGTTTCTTTCCCAACAAGACCCTTTGGTGGTGTGCGTAGGCGCACCATGGCCCAGACCCTCCAGATGGCGATCCCAAACTTCGGCAACAATGTTCTAGAGTGTCTGAATGAGCAGCGGCTGCAGGGCCTCTACTGCGATGTCTCTGTGGTGGTCAAGGGCCATTCCTTCAAGGTACTGATGAGTTAATATTGTTTTCATGATATTGAAGGTTGAGGCTGATATTGAAGGTTGAGGCTAAATTTGGAGAAGTTAAGGCTTGGGTGTAAACAGTATTCCTGTGTCTCCATGGAAGCCATGTTGCATGGAGGATGGAATGGCAGTATACTTCAAAAGAAGTGCTGTTTGGACAGTCTGGGGGCAGCGGTTTTAACTGTTTTGTATCTTTGCAACTGCAGTGTGTTATCCAATCTAGCATAATGATACTCTTTCATCCCAGTTGGATTTTGAGATATTTTGCTAAATTCTTCCTCTTTTTGAAGGTTTGACAATAAATTAAATCCCCTGTTTGTAGTCTTAACTTAAAATGACAGTTGGACCTCCTTCATAGCATGTCATTTTCCACTTTGCCTGTAAAGATAATGTGTATGATTGCCTCCAATTGCAGAGCCCCGAGTCCCTGAGACTCTCTCTGTCCTGTAACCTTGTTCTTAGGTCCCACCATTTCAGTGACCCCAACTAGAGCTGTCACTTTAAGTACAGTATTTTTTCCAAGAACACTGGGAGAACTACATACTTAAACACTGACTAGATTCTGCATTACTTGGCACTAAATGCTTGCTTAATGGTTATTATCTTTCACTGGCAAATTAGAATGATATCCAGCCCTAAATGAATCAGTATATTAGTTTATAAGAGTCTCTTGTGACCTTGTCTTTGCATCAAGGAACTCTTTGATTTTAAATCATGAAGTGAGAGAGAAGAGTACATACCTATAATCTGACATTTAATTTTCTCCTCTAATTTCTAATTGGATTACTTATCTGCTTTGGTCTCAGGCCCATCGAGCTGTGCTGGCTGCTAGCAGTTCTTATTTCCGGGACCTCTTCAGCAGCAACAATAGTGGAGGCGGGAGCAGCAATGAGACGAACCCAACCGTAGTGGAGCTCCCATCGGCTGTGCAGCCCCAGAGCTTCCAGCAGATTTTGTCTTTCTGCTACACAGGCCGCCTCAGCATGACGGTGGGGGATCAGTTTCTCCTCATGTATACCGCCGGCTTCCTGCAGATCCAACAGATCATGGAAAAAGGCACCGAGTTCTTCCTCAAGGTAAGGCTGAAATGGTTTTCAGGAGAAACTTGTCAAAGCAGGAAACAAAGCTGGGACATACAATCTGAAAAGGCCAAACGCCATTTTCAAAAACTGCATCCACTCCACATCCTAAGACTAGTATTACTCATCGCCTATTTTTTAAACATAAAGACGTTTATGCCATTTATGTATATCTACATGTATATTATAGCCCCGTTTCCACCAAACACGTTCAGTATGGTACCTTTGGAACCAAAAATAACCCTTCAGACATGGTACCTAGACCCTAGCGTTTCCACCGCAAACAGCACTCTTTCATGTGGGCGGGGTTGTTGTCACTCACTGCTCCATCCAGCACTCACTGCATTTCCTCCTTTATCAGTCTGCACCTTGTTTATCATCCACAGAACAGGGTTGCATGCTGACATTTTCAGAGCAAAATAAAACAGGCTGCAGTGAGAATCTCTCTCCATGGGTTATTTAAAAATAGCAGGTTTGTACATTTAGTCCTTCTCAGGCAAGCTCGGGGGTGTAGTGTTGCTGGAGCACACAGGAACGAAGGAAGGATTAGAATATATGCAGTTCACATAATCCAGCTGAAATTAATATATATTTTTAAAGGCTTGAAGATCCACTCATTACTAAAAGTGACACTAAAGTAATGGTCCAAGTTGTCACAGTGAAATTTAAGTTGTGCTGATGGGTTCAGGTTGTCAACTGATGCATTGAGTAACATAACAAGTAAATGTTCCACCTTAAAAGTCGCAGGCAGTCCACCCAGTGAATTATTTTCTCGGACTAGAGTTTCTGCTGCGAGAGACAGCAAAACATCCTTTCACTTTATAGTTACAGTTTATTAATACATGTAAAACTCCACAGTACAAACAGTGGTTACATGAGCCTCAAAACCAGCCACAACTCGGCCCTGAGCGAGAGAGACGGTCCGTCTTTGATTTAGCTACAGGGCCTCTTGCCCAAAAGTCAGGTGACATAATATAAAGAGCATCAAAATCCATGCTGATCAAAAGTCGTGGTGGATGAATGTATAAAGCAAAGGGCGTTCACCTGGGAGACCAGGTTCGAGTCCTTTTGTGGGTCAATATCAGTTAAATATTTGGTTGTGTTAATGTCATATCTCAACATTGCTGGGATGCACAGGAACAATGTCCAGCTGATGGTTAGGTAACATCGTGGGCGCTGGCACAAGTTTAATTTGGAAGTCTTGATTGGATGTTAAAACAACAGTTAATCAACATTGCTGGAATATTTTGATTAATTTGGAATGTCTCTTGCTATCTGGGTGAATTGACTGTTTAAAATTAAGTTTATATTCCAGGTTCAACAGTCCGAAATATATATGGTGCTCAGAGTTAAGAAAAGCAAAAATGGGAAGGTTCCATCTGCAGCATGTCTGCACTGAGTAATTTAAGGGCAGTCTGCCGTGTAGTAGTCTGTAAAAAGTGCTAGTGGAAGTAAAATTATAGTGTGACAATGGTTCTAGATCAGGAAGGGGGTCATTTCATCATTTACTTGACTAATCATACAAAGTGTGAAGGGAATCTGGCCAGTGGTTGTCGATGTGCCAAGCTGTTGGACAGACAGCCTGGCCATCCTTCAGCCCAGCCACCAGCATGGCAAAAATCATTCAAACAAACATTTACCTGTTTGCACATCAGTGTGTTCATGTGTGCTGACACGAAGTTGATGTATACATTTGTTTCTAGGTCTCCTCCCCTAGCTGCGACTCCCAGGGCCTTCATGCTGAGGAGGCCCCAACTTCTGAGCCCCAGAGCCCCGTGACGCAGACCAGTAACAGTGCAGGCCGGCCTGCCTCATGCCTGACGCCGCTCCCTCTGGTATCACGAGTGAAGACAGAGCAACCAGCAAGCCAGCCGGAGGCCGCCACTCCTTACTCAGTGGTCTGCACTCCCGTAGCCAAGCGGCTGTGGGAGGGCGGCAGCAGCAGAGATGGAGGCGGGGGAGGCTCAGGGGGAGGAGGCGGGGCCAGAAAGGCAGCCCGTTATTCCCAGGAGGCGGTGCGGGGCAGTGCCATTCAGAGCCCCGGAGCCCTCGGACTGGCCATGGGTATGGGTGCCAACGTAACCAGCCTGGCGGGCGTGGTGGCCAGTGGCGGGCTCAGTGGCAGCACTGGCACCAACGGAAACTCAGCGGCAGGTCTCGGCATGTCAGAGGGAGCCAGCCCTGGCACCCTGAGCACCTACGCCAGTGACTCACCTATCAGTTACCATGATGATGAAGAAGAGGAAGAGGGGACAGAGGAATGTGCTGAAGAGCAGTACAGGCAAATCTGCAACATGTATACCATGTACAGCATGCTCAACATGGGAGCTGCAGGTAATCTGTAGTGTAATATAGTGTAGTGTGTAAATGCACTTGTACGACAGAGAACATGTGTCATGTGTCTAAGGTTCATGTCCACTTACATCTTAAGCGGGATTTATACTAGTGCTTCATCTCTATGCAGAGCCTACGCTGTAGCCTACACATGTGGCCTACGCCGTTGTGAGCCATTATTCTTGTGTGGTGGCCTGTGTGTCACTTTGCAGTTACACCTCCAAAACACTAGTCAGCGACAGGGTTTCTGTGAAGTGCTGTATAGTTTAGTTGATTCAAAACACGCCCAAACACACAGTAAACACACATTAAACATGGTTTAATAGAGACAATTTCAAACACAAGTACACAAATCGTCTTCACTATAACTCGCAGCATTCACAGACAAACACTTGTCTTTATCTGGACACATTTTCCCCACAAATATAACATGCTAACGTTTTAGCACAAGCCTATGGCATTTTACATTGTATAAATTAGCCTAGCGTCTAACTTACATTTCCTCTACTCATATGAAGCCAAGGACAACAGCAACATTTAACAAAGGTAACGTTACAAAATTCAACTCTATTACAACTCACAAAGTTCACGGACTAAACAACCGTCCTATACTAAACACGTTTTTCCAAACAAATATAACATGCTAACGTTATTAGCACAAGCCTATGGCATTTTACATTTTATAGATTAGCCTAGCGACGAGTGGAGATTTCCTCTACTCAAATGAAGCCAGGATAAATCACACACATGACTTAAAATGCTATTTTGTGGAGGCTTTATGGTCTTCACAATTTATTGTTTCTTATCTGTGAAATTAAAGTAAGTAAAAGCTTCGTTTCCTCTGAGGGAAATGGTCTCAGCTTACAAAAATAGACAGGAGGTCTGTGTCGCCATGATGTGTAGTTACATTTCTAGGACATTTTCCTGCACCGTAGGTACAACGTTGATTTGGCGCAGAAGTATAAATCCCGCATATCATCATCTTTAAGATAAGCCATTATTTTGACATTCCCATGGCACGTCCGTGTCACCATTTCCGTCCAAGCACACCTACTCCTTTATAAACATTCAAAAGGTGCTAGCTGCTTATCACCAGGCAGGTAATGGCAAGCAGCCAAGAAAAAAGACAACAAGGACATTTACTGATGTCGTCTAATATCGATCACAGGCCCCTGAATTGAATCTAATCCAAATCGCATCATGTCAGTCTTAAATTAGCAAATATATTGTTGTCCAAAGAATCGATATAATACTGTATTGTGATTAAACTTGTGATTTACACCCTGAGTGATCTGATGTGTTTCAGGTTTTAGCAGGCATTGCTCTGTGCAAAAGTGTACAAGTGATGTGGTTTATTCTAACTTTGCAGTAATTGTCTTTGTCCAGCAGCCGGAGAGCGTGTCGAAGCTCTACCAGACCACACAGAGACACGGGGTCGGATGCGAGGCAGAGACCTCACATGTCTCCCTGCAGAACTCATTGCTCAGATAGGCAACCGCTGTCATCCCAAACTGTACGAGGAAGGAGACCCTGCTGAGAAACTCGAGTTAGTCTCAGGTATGGTTTGTGTGTGCGTCTGTGTTCTCAACAAAGAAAACTGTCTTTACAACAGACAGACTTGAATTTCAGAGGAGCTGGTAAATTTCACAGAATTGTTTTTGTTTATGTAAAGTCTTGAGAAACACACACCTGAGCTATGAAATATATATGCAGCAATACACCAGTGTTAGTTGATTCAAGGGGTCTAAACAGGAAGAGGCCAATAGCAATGATATGTACATACATATGTAGAGGAAGCTGTCCTCAAATGACCGGGCTTGGCATTGGTATGCAGATTACGCTGCAGTACTGCACATTCGTCTCAGAGTGTTTATGTCAAGGACATCCTGTGGCAACATCTGTGTTACCTTACAGACTGGGTTACATACCTTACAATATAGTGTGTGCTTGTGTGTCTGTGATTGAGCAAGAGGGTGAGAGAGACATGAATAAATAAACGAAAAAAGGAGGGTGGTAACATATGGTTTAATAGTGAAATGAAAATACAAGAAAAAATGTGTTGTGCATAATAATGTTAAGGAACTTAAGTTATTTAAGATGGCAAGGAAGCAAAAGCAAGACTCTACACCATGACACTCAGCTGAAGCACAGCCTCCTCTCTCCCCACCCACAGCTGCAATGTTTGTTATGAATCAGACGTGCCACTAAATAAACAAATAGTCAGTTCCAGTAAATTAAAGTGAATCATATGACTGTATATGACCCACAAATTCTGAACTTGAACAGATCAAGCTGACACAAAGCGAAACAGTAAATAAGTCTTAAGTGTTGCTAATTACTGATGATGTTGTTAATATTCTTGGTGTCTTTGCAGGTACTTCTGTGTATATATCGCGAGCCCAGCTAATGAACTGTCATGTGAGCGCAGGGACCAGACACAAGGTGCTGCTTAGGAGGCTGCTGGCCGCCTTCTTTGACAGGTTTGTTCCTGCTGTCTGGGTCTATTTCTGCAAGTGTTTCATGTGAAGTTAGCTAAAGCTTTTTTTTATATAGAGATTAATGTATTTTTTTTATCTGCTGCCATTAAAGGGCTATAATGACTATTTTTGTTTTCCTATGCTCTGTGTTCTCTGCCACGCCTTCTTATTTTTGCTGCACCAGGAATACTCTGGCCAACAGCTGTGGAACAGGCATCCGCTCATCCACCAACGACCCGAGCCGCAAGCCCCTGGACAACAGAGTTCTGCATGCGGTCAAATGTGAGCGAACATGTGTTTCTGTCTGCGGGTGTTTGCCCACAAGCATGCAAACAATGTGCACATTTGCCTGTGATGTTGGGTACAGATAGAACATGTGCACGTACATGCAGTCATATTTTACATATACACGCAAATTGTGAAGCACATTGTTGCTGAACTGAATGAATGGCTGCTAAATGTCAGTGTCAGTTTTTAGGCTACCTTTTGGATGAAAGTGCTACCTTCTGCACTCTTATGTTTAGCATTAGGTAATAACCCACAGTCACCACTAGATAGCAACATTCACTGATGTTCACATATATACATGTAACCAGGTGATATGTGTTCATAGGTTCATGAAAAAACGCAGCTTGTGTAACTCTTGAGCTCAGTGAAGTTCGGGCTCGCTTTGAAGATGAACACATTTGCCTTCATCTCATTAGGGAAATGAGAAAGGCAGCAGGATGTGTTTTAAGAAACGAGCGGCTCCATTTACAATTTACATTAACAAATCAGTGATCTGCAGGAGTCCTGGAAATAATATCTCTCTGTGTATTTCCTTTCTTAGCGAGTATTTGCCAACATTAATTGACACTTTTTGAGGATTTATTTTGACGTCATTCATATGTTTAGGGAGTAACATATACAGTAAAATCTCGGGAAGTAATCCCCAAATTGACCAGATGCATCATCAATTCTGCAAGTGTTGCAGTGTGAGGAGGAGGAGGAGCTCTGATATTTCACACTGCTTAAATTCTGCAAGTTGGTGAGGTTGTGCCAGATGCACAGTGGGAAAACACTTTTCAAAAACTACAGACTTAATGAGCACCAGACCATACATTACTTGTTAAGTACTGTGCAGTATCAATAAATAAATATATTTATTAATTAATGCTTAAATTAAATTACTGCATAATAGATAAATAAAATAATAAATAAATAAATAAATAAATGATGAAATAAACATGGAAGTAAATGGATGAATGTATAAATCCATAATAAATAAAAAAATAGTTTAACAGGACAAAAAATACATTTATTTCTATATTTTTGTACAACCACATTTATTTATTTCTGTATTTATTTATTTATACTTTTATTTATTCATGTAATTATTTATGCATTTATTCATTTATTTATCCAGTGTTTGTTTTGTCATATTTATTTATACATTTATTTACTTATTTCTCTATTTATTTATTTATACCAGTATTTATTTATACATTATTTAATTTATTTATTGATGCTTAAGTCATTTTTCATCCTTCACGGTAGTTCACAGCAAAGATACAATCAGCCTGACTATGTTTTCTTTTCCTTTCCTGTCTCAGTTTATTGCCAGAACTTTGCCACCAGCTTCAAAGAAAGCGAGATGAACGCCATCGCAGCCGACATGTGCACCAACGCCCGACGCGTGGTCCGTAAGAGCTGGATCCCCAAGCTGAAGCTACTGATGGCCGAGAGCGACGCCTACACCGCTTTCCTCCCCGATGGCGTCAAGATGGAGGATGACACCCTGGGGGCGGACCCAGCCTTTGACCCCGCCTCCCTGGAGGCCGCCGGCGGTGCCGGCATGGAGTCAGGTGGCTCTTCAGGTGAATCGCTACCAGGTGTGGGCGGGGACGGAGGACCATTATTTTGAACATTGTGTCCGGGGAAGGTTAAAATTTGTTGACACACATACCAGTATTCCCCAGTTCTGCTTGCCTCCTCACTCTTTGGCCCACGCTGATCTCTCACATCTGACTGTCTATACTACACTGCTCGGGTCAACAGTTGCTGTTACCCTGATGTAACCAGGACATGAAAACTTTAATTTTTGCTTTATGACTGTACAATGGAGTTAGTTGAGGAAAGGGAGAGCGTGAGAGGGTGTTTAGTTTCCTCCTAACTGCCCTCTGCCTCCCCTTGTCTTTTTAAGGTGTGTAAGCGCATCCACTGTTGCATATTAAATACATTCCCTGAAACGCAGGTGATGGGGGAGAGCCTGGGGAGGAAGGGATGGCTGGATGGACAGGTTCGGAGTAGAGGTGGCGAGTATATTGAATGTAAGTGTCAGTGGCAGTTTTCTCTATGCAACCCTGACAGCTTGTATTCCAGCCTTGGAAAAGGAACTAAATTTAAAACAGACACAATAACAAACATTAACACTACCTGCTCTTCCTCCCCTTCCACCTCTCACTCATCACCCTGCAAGTATTAGTCACCACACCACCTTTCTCGAGACCAGAGAATCTCACCTGAGTGTTTCACTGTGCAGTGTCTTATAGAAATTTATTTCATCTTTCTCTGTTTTCTAAATTTTTAGCATGTTTCTCCGTCTATGAACTGAAAAAGTGATCCAGAGAGAAAGGGGAAAGCTTTTTACTGAGATGATTGTAAAGAACATTTAAAGGGCAACAGGTAATCAAAGATGGTCATATTTTTAGAAGACAAACTATATTTATACAAGCGCCCATGCCTGGAACGGCGTGAGCAAAGAGAGTGAGAGGGATTGTTTTAAAATCTCGATCTTCGTGTTTTATTGAAAGAGGTCTTGTCAAAAAAGGAAAAGTGCTATTTTTGCATAAAAAAAGGAGTATAATAAAGCAGTCTTATCATAGGACCCTTAGTCGTTTATTTTTATCTTTATTTGACAGTTCAGAGTGATGGAATGAGCAGTTGAACTGCTAAATTTGAAGCATTTCATCTTCTGTTCACTCGCTTAAAAGGAATAATAAGACTGATTCAGCTGGCTTGACTGTTGTCTATGATAACCATTTCCTGTTGGGTTGCCAACCTGCAAAGTTTGCCTCCTTCGATAAAACATTGGCCCACAATTTTAAGGATCACTTGTAGAAATCTAAAGGTTGTATTGATCTGACAGCTCGGCTAGTTTCTTCTTTGTACTGAAATTATTGGGGATAAAAAAGCTGCTGACAAATGCAGAAGTCACAGGAAACAATTATGGGTATTGGTATGTGCCTTTTAATTGAAATCAATAAGCAGAAGCTTGGCGGGTACAGTGATGTCACGAGGAGGCAATCTTGCTCAAAGCAAACAGGTTTTATGGTACTATCCATGTGTGTGTGAGACACTTCTTTGGTGAGGACGGAGAGCCTGTGTCGCGCGGCTGTGTCTGTCAGTACGTAGTTTATTCATGTATCTAACACACCACCTCTTTAAGATGGAAATTCAAAATGGCTGACAGTTTTATTTTTCGAGTTTGAAATGATTTTTGCACCTTCCACCAGAGTGGAGGTTTCTGCACCTTAATGAGAAGAACCAGTGGTTCATGCACCTTTTTGAGAAATGTTGTGTAGCAATTGAACCCCTTTAGGTGGAATCTGTCTTTACTTCTCCCATGTCCGCCTGCGTTTTCTTTTTTAAAAGTGGCACAAATTCCTACTGTACATAATCGAGATGACTGTTGAGTTAAATCCCAAGTGTTCTTCCTTTCCGTTGCTGGATGCATCTGATTATGAAATGTTGACAACTGACCTTTTTCTGTGTGTGAGAGTTCGTGTTTGCTAGAAGCTTCTTGGATGACCTGTACGGGGTCAGCACAGAGGATTCATTATTCCTCCTGCAGGTGGACACAAAATGGTCCGGGTGTGACTTAGGAATGTGTTCTTAACCTGAAATGCTCCGACTGATTACTTTCTCCTCTTTGGGGAGCATTTCTTTAAAGGTTCTGTTTTTCCGAAGATGGGTAGAGGGTGAAAAACGTGACGGAATTTATGTTTCTTCTTCAAAGCGGTTGAGTCACTTATTGAAAAGAATACCTAGAAGCATGACAGATATTGCTCAGCCTATTTTCATTTTTGATTCAAATAATAAAGATGAGTTTAGTGAGATGGTTTGATATATGGACAGAACAAAAATGCAGTACCTTCTAAGTATTCTGTATATTCTGTAAAGGGTAATGACGACAAAACCTCAGTATGCTCTGCATTTGACTGTAAATGCCACATGAGCACCCCTCCCCCACATACCTCTCCAGTATCTTTGAAGACTGTTGTGCTTCCTGTCCATGCAGCTGGTGTCGTGTTTCACTTCCACAAGTTTATTCATGTGTATCAGAGAGAGGCAAAGCAGCGGTTTTTGGTGGCTAAATCCGAATTAGAATATGCACACTTAATTTGCTTTGTGGCTTTTGGACTGTGCCAAGTTTACAGTTTGACTTAGATTACATCTTCATGTTTTCACCCAATATGTTTTAACAATGACATAAATCAGTGTGTTTTAAGTTACTGTAATCCCTTAAATAGTTTTCTGGCATATTACATATTCAGAAAATTTCAGATTTTAAATATATCAAACCCAAGACTTTAAAGTAAATCCACTATGATACCAAATTCCTAGATAATTGCTTTGTGTATGAAGTTAAAGGACCGAGACACATGCCCCTCATTAGAACCTCTGAATTTAATTTAGTTAATTTATAGGGACATTGAATCAAGCAATGATATTAAATTATATTCTCTTAGTATGTTTTTTAACATAATGGCTACTAAATCAGTCAATGTTTCTGCCCTAGAGACATACATCCAGGCATGACAACAGCCAAATTACTGTTTCAATGCACCCTTCATAGACATATTAATGAAATCAGAGTGTAATAACAATTAGTTCTACTAGAGTTTCCCATAGAAAAAACAAACCAAAAAAAAAAACCCGTAAAGACAAAAACTGAAAAAATGAAGCCTTTATTTTGGGTGGGACGCAGGGGTTACATCTCCCAATATTTAGAATGTGCATTTGCCCCCCTCTAAAAAAAAAAAAAAAAAAGCATGAAAGCATCAGAGGACTTTTACTTGGCGTAATTAAAGACGTTTACACTATAAAACGATGCAGAAAAGGCATAAATCGGTGCACTGAAAATCGCCAGAAAGCAGGAAATTAAGTGTTTACGCCCTAAATCCCCCGTTTCATATGTGTCGCCCACTTGACAATATTGAAAGGAAACCTCTGCCCCTGTTTCTTACAGTAATCATGTTACACAGTGACCTCCTAAATGACTTGGAGTCTGTTCTGAGTCACTGACGAGCTGAAATAACACCAGTGAATCAGCACTGGTTCCAAGGAAGCCACGTTAATCTGCTGTTGCAACACAGCGGCCCTGTCCCAATCCAGAAACGTCAACACCATAGAAATAGAATGAGAATAGAAAGGTCTTTGAAGCGTTTGCCGTGGTCATTTGACGAGTACAAAAGAAAATGGTGATTGTTGTGAGTTGTTATGGTGACAAAGAACGTCAATGAGGCCAGAAAGTATGTCACTCCCTAGTTTGAGAGGCCTATTCTTACACGTATTCCTTATTTAACTGAAAAATATAACCGTACACCAGTCCAAATTTCTCACTGCCATCAAACTCAGACTTATGTTCGCTTAATTGGCTCGTGAACTCATCATAAAACACACCATTTTAGTCAGTCTTCTTCTTTTTGATGTGAAAACGTGTTGATCTACACGCCATAATGCTTACTCGAACACGCCAAGTTGCTACTCCATTGCTCATTTGATCGCTACTGCGAAATCTTACCTCAGTAAGTTTGCAAACTTGCTGCAAGTTGAATTGTAAAGTTTATACGTCAACATAAAAGTGGCCGCCGCTCAGACCATCCTGCTACGTAGAATGCTATTCATTCTATTTCTATGGTCTCCACCACCCAGTCAAAATATCCTACCATTACGCCACATGAGCCTAGAGGAGAAATAACTACGGTTACAGTACTTGTCAGGGGTTTTCACCTGTAGTCAATGTTCAGTTCTCCGATGTCTAAAAAGTCCCTCACTCACGACCTACTTGCACACTGCCTCAGCTGCAATAGGTGTGTGAGCGTGGTTGTGTTTTACTTTGTGTGCATTTGAAAATAGAAAGCTTTGATGCATCTTTTTTTTCTATTTTTTATTTTTTTCTAAGCTAATTGTAATTTCAACCTATGTGTTTACACCTCACAACACATGTAGACCTACACACTTGAACAGATAAGGTGTGGCATGGCATGGGGAACCTTTTGTCACTAAACAGTACATATATAAATATGAATATACACATGTATAGATAAATACTGTATATTATATATAGACGCACACATAGAGGTCAGATTGTTTGTCGTGCACTTGCAGCATGAGGTATATATTTACCCAGAAACGGCGCTTAATTGGTCTGCCCATGTCTTTGCCCCTGCTCCTTGCCCATCTGTAACCCTGTAGCGCCCAGTGGACATCCTGTACTGCTCATCCTATTTCTTTCTGTGTTCCAAGTGCCAATAACTTCGTGAAAGCCCTGTAACTGTGACCCAACATTATCAAAGGTAATTGCACATTAACAACTGTAAAATAAATAAATAAATATAAATCATAGAGAAAATGTCAAAATGGATTAAATAATGAATATCTTAATAAAAGATTTGTAACAATTTCTCTCTGATTCCTTTATTTACTGGGGGGTTGTTTTGCTGCTTGTTGAGTGCCTGGTTGTTGTTTTACACCTTTCATATATGATACTGGAATAAAGGTATAGAAAAGTGTTTCCTATGTAATTTTTAAATAACTGGAAACAAAATTTGATTAAAGGTCCCATATTATACTCATTTTTGGGTTCATACTTTTATTTGGGGTTTCCTCTAGAACATGTTTAAAGGCTTTAATGTTCAAAAAACCCATTATTTTTCTCATATTGTCTGCCTGAATATATCCTTATTGAGCTTCTGCCTTAAACGCTCCGTTTTGGTGCCTGTCTCTTCAAGCTCCCCCTTCCGAAATAGCCCAGCCTGCTCTGATTGGTCGGTGCTTCCGAGTCTTCCACATTTGTGCTCTGGGCATCTCTGCACCTTCACTGCAGCCGAGGAATGACTGTAATGGCACTGTAACTGCAGTGTCTACCTTTATATAGTATAGTTGTGACATCACAATTTCACAAAGTCCTGACTGCTTGTTTAAAGGCACAGTTTCTAAATATAGACTGTGTGTGTTTCTCTGTGGATTGAGCGTTTGGATACTTTAACAGTATTTATATTCATTTAATTATTAATTTAACTTTTATTTAACCAGGAAGTACCATGAGATTGAAAATATCTTACACGTTTATATATCACCGATACCTGCTTTATTGAGAGAGAAAGAGAAAAAAAAAGGAAATCTAAGTTTTTATAATTTGGGACCTTTAAGAAATTTACCATTGCCTTGAAAAAAACATGAGCATTCAACTTTATACCTAAAGAAATTAATGCACTTGATATCTCAGTGTTAATTTAGGTCCATTTCTATGCTCAAAAATTACATTTACAGCTATATCTAAATTAAGAAACCAGTTTTTCGTGTATATCTCTGTGGCGCACTGCTTTTCACTGTGAAATATGAAATAGTTTAAATGCAGTTAACTGTAAACAATTTCCATAAACCTGCAGAAAAAAACTGCATGCTCACTCTTGAATGTTCCTCTTTATGCACACTTCAGCACTCACACCTGGAGGCCGCCATGTATGACCAGTTTCTTTCATGCTTCACGAACATATCTCCCCACACAGTCGTTCCTGAATTCATTTGGCTGTAGTTTTGCTTTCATACTTGATACACAACACTTTGCATACTTAAAGAGACAGCTGCCTCATGAACCAGTATTCACAGACATGTTTCATATTCTACTCTGTAGCAGAGCAAACACTTGGGACAAAAAGACAAAACTCAAGTGATTTTATCTTTCCTAAAAGAGAATGTGTCTTATAGAATAAATTAGTATTACATCCCAATGATTATTTCAATTGCAGCATTAGCACCACTTCAAAATAACTGCTGATAATTATGATGACTTAAATCATAAACAGTGACTTGATTAATGAAATCTTTCTTGCAGTCTGTTTAAGATTCTTTCTGCACTGTAATCAGCACCTATACTATGGAATAATGTGCCCCCACCCTTATGATCTTCCATAGGTGTAGTTTTTGGGGTAGAGGCAGTAAAACACATCAATCTTAATAGCAGAGAACTTTTATTTTGACAGAATTAAAGACAGTTACACCTTCAATCATGCAGAAAAGGCACAAAATGGTGCATTTAAGAATCGCCAGAATATAGGAAATTAAGCGTTTGATGCTGAAACTGTTCTGGCGGAGGACCTCCATACCCCTCCATTTCATTTGTGTCCCCCAATGTTGAAACAAAACCTACGCCCGTGCGGTCTGCTGACTCTGTGGTTTCTTCTTGGCAGCTACAGACATGTCTGTTTAGACAAGCGTTTGGGAGCTTGTTCATACTAGGTCTGCATTTTATTTATATATTGTGTATTTCTGTTGTGTGTTTTTTTTCTTCCATTATGTATTGCATTCTATGTCCCCATATTTTAAATACCTTGCTCAGGCAGTCAATTAATCTTCTATGACTTTTTCCTTGTTTGTGTATAATGCCTTTGTAAAGCCTATGTCTGTGAAACAAATACAAATAATTTTAACTTACTTACATGTGACTAGATCAACAAATTCAGACTGATGCTCTGTATGAGATGAGCCACTGGCACCCTCTTTCTTCTCTTGACATGTATGACCTCCTTACACCAGATACCCAACACTACACAACTTCAAACAGAGTCGTTATCGTTCCCCTGCTTGTGCGCCATCTAGTGTTGAAAGGCTGTCATGACAACTGACAGCAGAAAATCTAAAGTTGTTTGTACTGCTGCACAAACAACTTTAGATTTTCCTGCTCAGCAGTTCAAACTTAAACTGAAAGTGACTTTTACTGTTTGTTTGTTTGTTTTTTGTTTTTTATCTGCAGAGTTCTCCTCCTCTCCAGAGCAAACAGACCCAGTGATTGAAACTGGTGCAAACATTGAATAAAGCAGTTTCATGTTGAAAAAATAAGTGTTTTTCCGATACTCTAGTGAGCCACTGTTTGGTTTGTCCATCCTGGGCCACTGTAGAAACATGGCGGTGCAACACGGCAATCTCCATGGACGAGGAACCGCTCCTTATGTGGATATAAACAGTTCATTCTAAGGTAGCAAAAAGACTACAATTCTTATTTTCAGGTGACTACACACTAAAAAAATCATACATTTTATATAATATTTCATTTCTGCCAATGCATCCCCACAAACCCTACACTGGACCTTTAATGCTTGCATGTTTACTAATGGTTAAGTCACCCAGCCAGCATCAGAAAGCTGTATGACAATAATAATAATAATGAAAACACTTTCACAAACCAAATGTACCCAGTAACAAATGGTAGGCAGACAATTCAGCAAATAGAGATGGTTGCGACCTCAACAGAGCTCTAATGCAAATGTCAGTGACTCAAAGTGTGACTGCTATGACGTGTAGTTGCTGTCTGCTTATTGTGATGTTTTGCTGCTCCCTAGTGGATATACATTGACTATTACTATATGTCTCAGCAGAGTTAATATCTTGGAAAGATATTTACTACAGTTCAACCATGCAATTCTCCTGGGTGGACCATGATGATGTCATCTGAGGCATTTTTCAACCCTTTTAGACCTGAGCAACTTGGCTTGATTTCTTTCAATAATATGGGAAGATGGCAATGAGAAATGAAATTGCAAGAAATTAGTAAAAAGAGAAAATTAAAAAACAAGAAAATTAGTAAAAATAAAAAGGGAAGGAAAAGACCTTGAAAAAGTGCTTGAAAAATATTTTTAAAAATCCAGAGCATAATTTCAAAAAGTAATAATAATTAAAAATATAGGCTAGTTTTCCCCTAGTTTTTTCCCTAAATTTTTTTGAAAAATAATTTTCTGAATCTATTTATTTTTTGCAATTTGTGGGACATTT